ATTTCAATTCTTATTATAAACTTTATTTCAAGATTTCATTCAAGAACCACTAATCTTTAATCTTCTCTATCTCCTTTATCTTTTGATTTTAGGACAACCTAAGCTTTCCATAAGCTTAGTTATCATCTAATGATCAAAACCCAATCTTAAACTTAACAAATAATTAATTAAGTAGAAGACTCACCTTTGAGCTTGGAGATACGGGAGGAGAGGAAGAAGAAGAAGAAAAGAGAGTTTCTGGAGAAATCTCTCAATTTTATCCCATATATATCATTATCTTATCCTTTCCAAGTCAAATGACCACTTTGCCCTTAAAATCCTTTAATAATTACTAACAACTTTTAGGATTTATTTTCAGATAAATCATTGAACTAATTCATTCTTCTACTTTAATTATCAAATTCTGAAACTTTACAATTAAGTCACTAACCCATAGTTTGGGATGTTACACGGCCGGCGAGGCGGCGCGACGATCGCGTTCTGGAAACCACGGCATTTGTTCATCAAACGGATGAGCATTACAGAGAAGAAGAGAGATAGGGGAGGGCTCGGTTTTGAGCTGAAGAGAAAACTAAAGCTTTTTAGAAAATTTTTGGCTTAAATATTAGCCCGTTAGACCCACGCCTAGACCCGACCCGCCTAACAAGATCCGCGTGTTTTCGTTATAAATGGGATAAACCATGATTTTGGTCCTTCTGGCTTAAAACCTTCTATTTTGGTCCCAAAATTACATTTAAACCCCGATTTCGTTCTAATTTGGCCACTCAATTCGTCTTTCTTTTCAACTTAGCCCCTGCTTCGTATTTTAATTTTCTGATTATTAATTTTAATCCTTTATTATATTATTTTTATATATTACGTTTATTATATATATATATATATTCACTCTTGTTTATTTATTATTATTACATTTTTTCATTATTTTAATCTGTATATATTTATGTACATGTTTTATATCTCTTTATATAAATATATAATTTTAATATTTTTATACGTTTATTACTATATATACTTTGATTATTTCTTATTTGATTATATATCGTATATATGCATTTTCTCCCTTTACTTCTTCTTTTTTCATTTTCTTTAAATTCTTTTTTTTACTCCTTGATTATCATTTTATTTTCTGATTTTATTTATTGATCGTATATAGATTATTACTATTATATTTATTATTTTACGTTTTTTCTATTTTTATTTTTATTTCTTTTTAATTCTCTTTATCATTTTATCTTCATGTTGAATTCCTTATTTCCTTTACCCTTCTCTATTTCATCTATTTTCATTTTTTTCTCTGATGCATCTTTTGACTTTTAAAGGGTACACTTTCAATCAATTAGTGATAAATTTCGGATCGATATTTTATCTTTTAATTTAAACTTATAATTTTTTAAGACAACTGAAAATTACTAGTACCGAAAGGGCGGTTCAAGGGTGCTAATCATTCTTTGACCATAACCGACTCCCGAGCCCGACACATTTTTGGTAAGACGCAGATCAGGTAAGTAATAAGGTATCCAATCTACCCATTTGTTTTAAAAATAAAAGATATGTGACGACTCCTAATCCATTTTCCTAAGTCGAAGCCCAATTTCAGGCTCAACAGACAGATGGTTCCGACAATAATATATTATAATTTCAAATTATGTTTTAAATATAAAAAAATATGCACCAACATGATTAGTTCAAGTGGTAAGTAGTTTGATATCACTTAAGTTAGGAATGTGCAAAAAAATATAATCCGAAAATTCTGATATCCGATCCGTTTTTTATTTTCGAATAGTTCGAATCAGATATCCAAATTTTTTTTGATTAATTGGATCGGATAAATTGTAATTTCAGATTATCCAAATTGGACCTTTGAAAAATTTTACCTAGGCCCAGTGATCTTAGCCAGCTCACACCTAACCTGAAATACCAACCTTACCGTGCATCTTTGATAAGTTTTCCCCCTAATAATTTTAGTTTTGTCTTCACGTTTTATTGTTGTCTACTAAGTGCTAATCACATAGCATATGTTTTTTATAATATATTTCTAAGATAAAATTTAAAATATATATTTCTAATACATGTTATAAAATTCATGATATGTAGTTTTATTCGTCCCTAACATTTTTTTTTTAATTTTCCATGTTTGATAAATTATGTATTGACAAATATATATAATAGAGGCACAAAATATGTTGTATAAAGTAACAAAATATTAAAATTTATTTTTTAAAAAATAAATTTTATATTCGGATTCGGATAACCGATCCGATATTTTCGGATATCCAAAATTTTGAATCGGATAATATCTGATATCTGATAATGCACACTACTAGCTTAAGCAAGGTCTCAAGTTCAAGTCCTTGTATATACAGAAAATCCCTTGGGAGCCTCACCCACCAAAATCAGGTGTGTGACCCAGGTCGGTTCTGATTAGTCAGGACAAAACCTTGAAATTGGAGGGCAAGAAAAAAAATCCTTCAACCAATGTTATAGTGAAATGTGTTACAATATTCTATTGACACGTGACACATCCTAAATAGATAGTTATTTTTTTTCAATTAAAACTGACTAAAATTGATAAAATATGTAAATAATAAGGATCAAATATAGAATTATGCCAATTTTACTAACTGACGTGTCAATATCTCTAAATGTTAATTACAAGTGACTTGATTGAATTTATTTAAATAATTGGTTGACCTAATTGACAAAATGAAAATATTGGAGGTTAAAATAAAAAGAGGCAATATTTAGATGGCCACTGGTATAATTTACCTATATTTTTATATATAATTATAGGGTAAACTACACATTTAGTATCTAAAGTATCGGGTTTGGCCTATTTTAGTACCTAAACTTTCAAGGTTTTTTTTTAAAATTATACCTAACATATAGTTTTTGCTTCATTTTAGCACCCGTTAAACATTTAACGTTAAGTTTTAAAAAAAAATTGAAAGTTTATGCGCTAAAACGGACTAAAACTAAATAGTTTAGGTACCAAACGCATTAAGTTTTTGACGACATGATACTAAATTGAAACAAAAACTAAACGTTAGATATGATTTTAAAAAAATTAAAAATTTAGGTACTAAAATAGATGAAAACTGATAGTTTAAGTACTAAATGCATAGTTTACCTAGATTGTAATGAACAAGAAGAGCTATAATTTATATTTTGGGTAAACTATAGAATTGGTCACTATTGTTTGTGTAAGTTTTTGTTTTTCCTACTAAAGTTGCAAAAAAAATTACAAAATGATCACTAACGTTATCAATTTATAACAAATCGATCACTCGTCGTTAACAACTGTTATTGGAGTAACGAAATAGTGTAACATGTTATATTAATAGCTTGAACCTCTACAAATGCTATTTGACACTTATACTCCCATGTACAAACGGTCAAATAACTTTTTTATCATTTCTTTACTTTCAAAAGCACCTCATTTTCTTAAAAGCTTCGTAGTTCAAAAGGCTGCACCTTTAATCACAGTTAACTGACGTAAGTTAACATCCTCTTTTTGGGTTTTTATTCCAGGGAAGAAGCAACAAATTTTACCCATTTTTGCTTGGTGTTTTAAGAGAGTTGTAGTTCTTTTCACAAGGAACTTTTTCTTTGTTCCTGGTCGTTTGATAAGCTGTGAAATAGCTTGTATATATTGTCTTTTCCTTTCTCAAGTTCTGACCTTTTGATATCTTGAACTCTTTCTTTGTTTCTTCTTTCTCAATTTCCTGCTTAGAGTATTTGTGATAGTTCTTCTGTTCAAACTTTAGAAGTGTTGTTCATTTCTAGATTAAGAGAGCTTCGTCTGTAGCACTAAAAAGCATCTCTTTGATTTGTTTTGTTGGAATATGAACCAGTAATGCCACCTAGTGAGATTGTGAAACGGAAAGTATGGACCGGCTGGAGCTGTTTCGTTAGCATTCACTCCTGTGCATAACTTACTCATCCTGAGACTATAACACCGAACCAAAAGCTTGGTTTTCGCATTGCATTTCTTGCTGCCATGATGTTTTCATGTTTGTTCCATTGTTTGGTTTATTTAATTTCATGATGGTGATTAAATTCAAAGATAAAAAAGAGAGCAGCTGGGGGTTTGTGTTATAAAGAGTGAGTAAAAAAAATCATTTGATCGTTTGTATATAGGAGTATATGTGTGAAAGAGTATTGCAGACGTTCGGCTATTAATATAACGTGCAACTTCGGCATTCTATTTTCTCAATAATGGTTGTTAATTAGGGTTTAACTCAAGATTTCATGTTACGGATGAATTTGAACTTTTTAAAATTTTAGAGGTCGAATCTAAACTTATAAAATTAAAGGAATGAGAAAATAAATTTTCAATAAAAAATACATAGAAAAAATTTAAAATATATAGTAATTTTAAAATTTCAGGAGACAACTGCATTTTACCCAGTGTTAACAGATCGATTTGTCATAAAGCGATAATATTTTATAATGTTTGAAACTTTAGTGGAAAAATTAGTGACCATTTGTGCAGTTTACCCTTATATTTTTTGTCCTATGTTTTATCTACGGACAAGCATGGGTCGGGTCGGGTTTTCAGGTTAGCCGACCAGATCCAAAAATTATAGATCCTCCTCCTGACCTGAAAGCGATCTGAAAAATATACACCTTCCGTTCAAACCTAATCCGATTCAATTCTAATATATTTATTAAAATAATATTATTTTTATTTAGTAAAAATAAAGATTTAATTGACAGAGAACAATATATAGAGAGATATTATTGTAATTATCCTTAAATATATAAAATTATAATTTTTCAGATCGTGTAAAATTAAATATTTTTCACCTTAAATCCGAACTCAAACTAACCTAAACGTAATATTAAGAAAAATCAACCTAACCCGATTTGAACTTAACTTTTTTTTTTAAAAATCTAATCCGATCAGTTTGGGCCGAATTGAAACTGTCGGATTCAGTCGCATGCCCATCCTAGACTTCTATTCCTAAACATTCTCGACTCTCCACACCAAATATATTTTCTTTACTAAACGAATTCAAGAAGAGGAGGAGAAAGTAAGGCCAAATCCACCAGACTCTTCTTTAACGCTCGACACTCTTCAAAATTGAAAGCCACTTTCAAGGTAAAGTCGTCTTCTTTTTATTCATCATTATTCTTTCTTTCTTTTTTCTTGTATTCAAAGCATTTGCATTTTGATCTGGGTTTTCTTTCTTTTTGGCTTAAATTTTGTGTTTCTTGAACTCTATATCAATTTCCGTGCTCGTTTAAATCTGGGTATCTTTGGGTTTGGTTATTCATCAGTTTCCTCTTTGCATAGTGCTAAATTTCTCTCTTTGGTTGTAGTTGGTTATGTTTGATTGTTCATGTAACTGTTTCATTTTGATGGAAAACTATTATTTCAGAATTCAACTAGGCACAAAAGTGAGTGTAATGAAGTTGTTGCTAGCTGATTAGAACCATTGCTTCAGTTTTTTTTAGGAACTGATTAGGTTTGTATTGAGATAGATAGAGTCCAAGAGATTCTGAGAAAGTTAATGGTATTCACGTTCGTCTAATACTCTAATTTGATAACTGGTGTGTATTAACGTGCATTTGGAATTTATATAGGGTGCATGAAAAGTTCCTTAAATATAAGGCAGTTAGGTAGAAAGTTTAATTAGATTTTCAGTGGCCCTTCTGATCATCCTTTAGTAATTGTTTGATCAATTGAGGTGTTTGTTTCTTCTCCTCTTCAGTTTTTTGATGCAGCTGTTGCAGAGTGGATGTAGATGGGTAGTTGTTGCAAAAGTTTAAAGAAAATATTCCCAACCTTATGCCTTGGTTTTAAAAAGGCGCGCCTAGGCGCGAGGCGCAGCCAGGCACTGAAGATGGCGCCCGTCTGGGTTGAGGCGAGGCGAGATACAAGAGGCGCATGCCTAAGGGTTTTAGGCGCTGGGCGCAGCGCCTTGGAGTATCTGGGGTTAAAGCCCTAACTTTCTAAATCTGTCTTTGATTGAATCCTTTCGTGGTGGCTGGTAATCACTGGTTAGGGTTTATCTCTTTTAATCGACATTTTGATAAAGGAAAGGACAGGAAAGGAATATAGGGGTATTGAAATAGCAGAGAAGAAGATGAAAGCAATATTTGAAACAGTACTATCAAATGAATTTTATAGTGAAGAGTGATGAGGTTAAAAGCTATAATGCATGGATAGATGTGCTGCATTTAACAGCAAGATAATGCATTGAATTAGACGTGCTGCTTTTAACAGTAGGATTAAATACATTGAACTAGACGTGCTGCATTTAACAATATGATTAAATGCATTGAATTAGATGAGGAACTGCTCACATCTCTGTTTTGACTGATGCCTGCATCTAACTGTATAGAAGGAGAAACGACACTTGAAAAGAACAAAAAAGAGATAGCTGGGTTAAGCAAAATAGTCACTCTTCCATTAGTGAAAAAAAGTGTTACTCTCTAAGAAATTCAAGTTTGAGTAGTTGTGTTTGTCCTACAAAGTATTAGTGTGTTGTCAAAGTATTAGTTTGATTTATATTATATAGTACAAACGATGCGCCTCGCATACGAAAGGACTGCGCTTTGTGCCTTACGCCTAGGCTCCAGAGACCTTTTGCGCCTTGCGCCCTTAAAATCCAAGCCTTATGCAGCCATATCTAACGAGTTTTGGATATTAGGATAGAAAATCACGAAGTAATTGATATGACCATAAATAGTGGTTCTGGTTAGAGATTAGAGATTGTTTCAGACTATTGTTTTCTTCTTGAGTAGCCTTTTTTCCTGGCAACAAAATACTGATTGGATTGGTTTTTCTCTTATGAAACACAGATTGTTTCTTATTCTGACTTTCTGAATTTCTTGTCCTCAATGTGATCAATGATGGTAGTTTAGAAGGCAATGGTTGCTCAACCTTAAGCAAATGGAAACCAATGGTAGCAGTAATCACCATTTCTGTGAAAATCAGCCTTCAACAAGTTCAAATAGTGCTAACAAAGGTCAATCCACTGAGGAGATTTTCGTTAACCATGGTAAGTTTTCTATTCAAGCCTCAGAGGCTTATCAATTTTCTTTTAGGGAGCATCTTATTCTGATGAAACCTGCCTTTCATGTAACTCTTTGGTAGTAGAACTGCCTTTTTTAAGATCTTAGTGGGACAAGAACAAAATAGTTTAGGAGAGAGCATACTCAAGCATCATGCCTTATTGTGATTTAATGTGATTTCCTGCATTGATTTTGCAAGAACCATCAATTTTATGTATTGGTATTATGCTGCAAAGTTGCTAGCCTGTATACGATGAATCCATTTTTGTCTTTGTTTTAATGTGGTCTCAGTAATTAGAGAATCAAGTAGCAGAAGATTTAGCAACATATGAGAATGGCTGCAGTGTTGCATACTATCTATACTTATGATCGCTGGGGCGTATGAGGTTCCTCAATAAAGGCGTTTACACTAAATTACATTGTGTGGTTATGGATTATGGGGACTTTTCTTCTGCAAAATTTTGTTTTTATTGAACGACAACATGAGAATTGCTGAAATCCATATTATTATTCTAATTTTTACAACCTTAATGTGAATCTACTTTGTCAAAAGCAATTTGGAACAGGGTGGTTGTTATTGAAATAATATTAAGAATCTTACTGTGCAGCTGAAATAACTTGGCATGAGGTTAGAAGACAGTGGGTCGGGGATCAGTATCAAAAGTCAAAAAGAATGCCTCGGGAACCAACTATGAGGTATATGCTTGGGGACCTTTTCCCTGCTCTTTTAGAGTCTTCCTACTCGTATTGAATACCATTGATGCTTCATAGTGCAACTAAGCTCACAAAACCTAGCTTTTATACCTGTCGAACAGTAAGAAATTGAACTTTTTAAATTTTGGCATCTTTATACTGCATAATCTATTCTCTCATGCTGCTTTATGTCATGTTCTAGACATTCTTTTCTTTATCCTTGCACACTGCTTTGTTGCGATCCCTACTTGAAAGTAAGTAGTACTATTATTGATATTAAATTATTAACTATTCACTAATCACTATTATTAAAATATTAGTTTTTAAACTCTAAGATGTAAGATGGGCTAGTGAATTCTTGAAACCAGGCGATGGATGTTATTCGGGTGCCTACTTTAAGCCACCACTTGGGCATTCCCCTTCCCCTTCTTTATGATCCAAATAGGTACATGAAGTAGGTTACTCCACTGAAATATGTATAAACTAGTTAATATACTTTCAGATGTATTTAGGAAAACAATGAAATAAAACTGCATGATCCCAAAACTTTGGTTCTTAAGTTGCTTGAAACCATACATATATTCAGTCTTTTTCCGTAATCCATGGATAAGTACTTGATCTTAAAATAGTTAAAGAGAAAATACAAGAAGAAGAAAGAGAAAGCTTACCTGACATTAGCTGTTTAAGGAGTCAGATCATGCAGGAATATTAAGGTTCTTCATGACGTATAATAAGTTCCTCTGATTATTTAACCTTGGAATCTCCTTCTTCTTCTTTTGCAGCTGGACCACAACATATGAGGATTTGCTTTGTTCTACTGAACAATTCCAACAGCCAATTCCATTAGCTGTAAGTGTGTCTCAGAACATCTTCCTTAAACTTTCGGTTTCGGGCCAACATTTATGTGGTCTTTTGCATGGTGAAAATGCAGGAAATGGTGGACTTTTTGGTTGACACATGGCATGAGGAAGGCCTCTATGACTAGAAACTTTGGGGGAACTCATTCAGGTTTGCAATGCTTTCTGATGCAGATTGAACAAATGAAGCAAAACACAATTGGCTATCATGATTCAGTGTTGAAATTGATTAAAGGTTGGCTTGTATGAGATGAACATGAGTTATTAGAATCTATCTCAGCAATGCTTTGGGAATTTTTAGCTCATGTAGTTGACTAATCTTCTCAACTGTGATCTCCATGTTCAATAACATATAAAGACCTTACAATATACCAGTCAGCCATCGCGTTAAGCTGATATACATTCTAGATATGGCTTCTCCAATAATCTTCCGGAAGAATGTTCATGTTTGGTATATATATCAGTCCTTTCATTGTTAAATAGATAATTCAGTCAATTTTATCATTTTAAAAATGTATAGTGACAAATTTAACATTCAATGTAACAACTTATGAACAATTAAAATGTAATATTGCATGTTCTAGATCAATACAATTAAGGGTAATAAAATTTCTAGGAGGTTTTAGACATCATTTAATTGTAAAAAGTGTTAATTATACAACTGGTATCTAGGTATGCTTTCAAGTTATAAATGTACTTGAATCGATTAAGTAGGCCTAGTGGTTAAAGAGAAATGTTATTTTTCTAGAGGTTTTGGGTTGTATTATGTTTTTCGAGATTTTTTTTTGGTTGAAAATTAAACATAGTATTTTCTTATAAGACCACATGAACTTTTCATCGGTTATAAAAAAAGGCAAAATGTTTAACAAAAAAGATTCAAATGACATAATCTTGTAATACTCATAACTGCTTCTGTTGCGATCGTGTTATTTTTTCCATGATCAAAATCTACACACACACCCCAGAACTCGAGTTAAAAGCAAATATAAATATAGATAAGCTGTAAGAGCATCGCACTAATATTTGGGGGATACAAAAGAATTTCAAATCATCCATTACCTAGGAGGTAAACTATGCTGGGTAAATAAAGTACTTGGATTTGAATAACAGAAACAAAAAGATTGAATTGAATAGTTAAACAAGAAACTAAAACCAGAGAAATGGTTGGGGAAACCAATCATGCCCTGAAAAGAAAATCAATAGTAAAGAATGTAGAATGGAACAAATTGACAGATACCTACCACAGGTGATATTATGGCTACGGTTGTAACTTAAGCCTTTGGCTTAAGAGGCTTAACGATCTCGCAAGTGAAATCAGGATCAAGTCCGAAATGACCATAAGCAGATGTCCTTTGGTGCCTAAAGTTTCCTCCTCTCTTCAAGTCAAGATTTATTGAGATCATTCCCGGCATGAAGTCAAAAACTTCCTTAACTAATGCCAAAATATCCTTATCTGGTATCTTGTTTGTCTTGTATGTGTCTACAAAAACTGACAAGGGCTCCGACACGCTGATCGCATTGCCTAACAATGTATGCACAGCTACGATCCACCTTGGTTGGATCCTTTCCTGAGAAAGCACCATCACCATGAGCACCCCAACCCCCATAGGTATGGTATGAATGATAATCTTTCGTCCAGTGAGTCCTGCATCGCCATGTTGTCCACCGATAACAAACCTCCCATATGGGTTGAGGTGGAAGATGGTTTTATCATCTAGATACTTACTTGGAATGACAGGCTTAATGACATGCTCTTTCAAGTCCACTGCAATCTTCTCATTGGTGACAGTTTCATCATGTTAGGTTGAAATAAGAACGGTATGAACACGAATAGGGACCATGGCTCCACCGTCATTTCTATACTCAAGCATGGACATGTCTTGTTCTTTCTCACTTTGGTAAGCTTAGTGGCAAGCACATGGGTTAGAGGCATCAACTCAGGGGTTTCATCCGTGGCATAACCAAACATGTGACCCTGGTCACCAACCCCGATTTCCTCAGGTTTCTTGGAGAGGTGGGCGTGCACTCCTTGAGCAATATCAGGGCTCTGTTGCTCAATGTTAACTAGAACTTTGCAGTTGTCAGCATCAAGGCCAACATCAGCTGATGTGAAACCTATGCCTCTGCAAGTATCCCGAACGATTTTCTCGTAATTAACTTTGGCCTTTGTCGTGATCTCACCGAAGACAATTACCATTTTAGTCTTGGTGCAAGTCTCACAGGCCACATTGCTTTCAGGGTCTTGTTCCAGGCAGGCGTCAAGGATAACATCTGAAACCTGGTCACAGATTTTGTCGGGGTGACCTTCATTGACAGACTTGGAAGTAAATAAGAAGGTATATATGCACTTCAGATCATAATGCATTCTATTGACCAACTCCGATGAAAAATCAAGTTGATAAACAACAAAAGCAATTGAACACAAAACCATAGTAATAAATACTGATGCCATGTTAGGTTACATATTCTTAACACAAGGAAAACCTTAATAAGTACATAATTATTAAAATATCTTATCATAGCAATTAGTTCAAATTACATAAACTTTAATGCCATGTTTGGTTACATAATTCCATAATAATGCTTTATTTCACTGTGGCTATACTAACTAAGTGTTTGAACCTTGGTTTTAAAAGGTGCGCCTCAGGCCGAAAAAATCATCCGTCTGGGTCAGGGCGAAGAGGGCATATGAGAGGAACCATGAGGTGTACGCCTCCAAGTCGGGTGCCGGGCACAGCGCCTGTGCGCTTTTGGAAGAAAACATAGAATAGATCAAAGAAGAAGATAGGAGAATAGTGGCAGAAGAATAGTGGTGAAGAACGGCTAGGGCAGACTCATTTTTTTCACTATCTTAACACTAATACATAAAGTTACTTAACCTATTAATCAATCAGCCCAAGACCATTATAACTTTTTCACATTTTGCCAGCTTTTAATCAAAAGTACTCTACTGCCATCCACGCCCTCTCATCTTTTCTATTCTTTCTTTATACTAATGAAAATAAGATCTATTATAATAAACTAATGTAATAAATGTTATGATACCGCCTATGCCCATCACCCTTCTTTATATAAAAACTAATATAAAATAAATAATTAATATATAATTATTTTTATAATTATAATAATTTTTTATAATTGAAATATATGTTGAGGCACCCGCCCGAGCTCTTTATCAGATGGCTCGACCCGAGTTAAGAAGATGCGTAGATAGTTGAAGGATCTCCTTGATGTTGGTTACATCCGACCTTCCAAGTCACGCTACGGTGCTCCGGTGTTGTTTCAGAAGAACCACGATGGGTCACTTCGGATGTGCATCGACTACAAAGCTTTGAACAAGCTCATGGTGAAGAACAAGTATCTGATTCATCTCATTGTGAACTTGTTTGACCAACTTGGTAATGCGAGGTGGTTCACTAAGTTGGATTTACGATCGAGCTATTATCAAGTCAAGATAGCCGAATGAGATGAACTGAAGACAGCCTGTGTAACGAGTTACGGTTCATATGAATACCTTGTGATGCTTTTTGGCCTCACAAATGCTCCTGCCACTTTTTGCACGCTGATGAACAAGGTACAACAACCCTTTTTGCATGTCAAACACTTGAGAAAGGTGTTCATGTTCTTGCGAGAGAATGAGCTCTATGTCAAGGCGGAAAAGTGCTCATTTGCCCAGAAAGAAGTTTCGTTCCTTGGTAACATTGTTGGAGGTGACGTGATCAAGATGGGCAGGGACAAGATTCGGGCCATTGAGGAGTGTGAAGCACCAACCAAGGTAACGAAGTTGAGATCGATCCTGAGGTTTGGTAATTACTACCAGAGATTTGTCAAAGACTACTCCAGAATCGCTGCATAATTTACCGAGTTGTTGAAGAAGGCCAAGGCATGGGATTAGGGACCGGAGTGTCAAAAAGCCTTTGACAAACTCAAGCTCGCAATGGTGAACGAGTCGGTCTTGGTGTTGCCAAATTGTACCAAGCCCTATGAGATTTACACTGATGCTTTTGATGTGGCGATTGATGGGGTTTTTATACAAGATGGGAATCTAGATGCTTTTAAGAGTTGGAAGCTCAAAGATGTCGTGCGGAGATACACGATGCATGAGAAGGAGATGACCGTGGTTGTGTATTGTCTACGCATATGGAAACATTGTGTACTTGGGTTAAAGTTCATGGAATACACGGATAATGTTGCCAACAGTTACTTCATCACATAGAAGAAGTTGTCACCGAAGTAGGCTCATTGGCAAAAGTTCCTTGTCAAGTTCGATGTTTCCTTAGAGCATAAATCAGGGAAAGTTAATTATGTTACCGATGCCTTAAGTCGGAGGTACATTAACGGGATGGTGAGCTTATTGGAGGGACCGATGCTAGATCGTGTCAAAGAGGGCTCGTCACATGATCTTTTGGCAAAATCACTGAAGGAACTTTTAAAAAGGGGAAAAACTCGGAGGTTTTGGCTTGAGGGGGAGCTCATATATGCCCGAGGATATCGACTTTACGTGTCTTAATTTTAGGGATTACGAAGAGAGCTCATTAGAGAATACCACAATTCCAAGTAGGTGGGATATCCGGGGATTCACCGGACCTTGGCCTTGATAGTAGAGCACTATTATTGGTTGCACATGGGTGATGATGTCGAGGCCGATGTGAAGACTTTCCTTGTGTGCCAACAAGACAAGATTGAACAGAATAGACCGGATGGGTTATTGCAACCATTTTCGATCCTAGAGAGACCATGGGAAAGTGTTTCCATGGATTTTATAGTTAGTTTTCCAGTTTTCAAGGGATGTTTGAGCATCATGGTCGTTGTTGAACGATTTTCCAAGTATGAGACTTTTATTCCAGCATCCAAAGTGTGTGCAAATAAGGAGGTGACTCATCTTTTCCTTTAGTATGTGGTGAAGTACTGGGGCGTTTCGAAGACGATATCCAGTGATAGGGATACAAGGTTCACTAGGAAGTTTTGGACTGAGTTGTTCAAGTTGATGGGATCATACTTGAACTTCTCGACGAGTGTCCATCCGCAGAATGATGGAAAAATTAAGCGAGTGAATGCACTCGTTGAGATCTACTTAAGGCACTGTATGAGTGCCATGCAATGTGACTAGCCAAAGTTGCTAAAAATGAAATATCATAAGGGGGACTATAACAGAAAAGAGGCAAGAGAAAGAAAAGGGAGGGAGATCAACAACTATTGGAACAAAAAAAAAGGGAAAATCATATTTTGGAATTTTTGTATTCGGGTTATAAAACACAAAAATGTAAAGGGGGACTTTTTTTTATTAAAAAATAATAGTGTAACAAAGGGGTCTCTTCATCCCCATTTAGCAAGCAATACAAAAAAAGGCATAACCTTTCAAAGGTATTTTTAGTGCCTTTTTCATCATATTCAAACCAAAAACCAGAG